TTATCTAAGCCTAAATTTTCCTGTCCATAAAGAGATAATACTTCTCTGGTTGCTGTGAAAAGTAAATGAGGCAACAGAAATTATTTACCACAGGGCTTGACACATAATTCTTGATATATGTTAGCTGTTAGCATTTCCTGATAAATAAAACATTTAATGTTTTTCTCCCTTTTATATGAAAGCAAATTTTTTTTTCTAGAGATTAAAATTTGAGCAAAACTAAAAGGAAATAAGTCAATAAAGTCACAAACCCAGAAAGAAAATCTAGTCAGAAAGATCTGAACTGAAATGTTTTCTCTAATTAAATCAAATGCATACGGCTGGGGTTTCGTAGTAAGATTATTTTAAACAAAAAAATAAATAGAGTTAACCTTACTAATAAAAATAAAACAAAGTACATAGTTCTGAAAAGGGGCTCAAGAGTCCTCACGGTGTAAAATAAAGAACACAGGGCTTAAATACAGAAAAACTTAAGTCCAAATAGCAACTCTCACTACCTGCTAACTACATGACTTTAAAAAGGTAATCCAAATTTTCTAATCCTGTTTTCTCACTTGTAAAATGAAGTAAAAATAGCTGTCACAAAATTAAATAAGGTAAACAAAAATATCTGGCTGGCAGGTCCTCCACTGCTGGATCTTTCTCTATGCTTAAAAATAAAATTTCTGAATTGTGTTTTACAATAAAGCTGGAAAGTTCATTAGAAACATATGCAATTAAAAATCAGTTTTTCAACACAAAAGTGTCAGGCAGAAAAGGAAGAAAGAACGAGATTTAGAAAGTCTAAGTAAGGCTGTAACTTCTCGACAGGAACATGTCGAGAAGTTGCAGCCTTACTTAGACTTTCTAAATCTAACATTTACATTTACTTAAAACATCATGCAAAACATAACCCATGAAGGAATAAGAATTTTAATGAAATTTTATTTTGGTAACAAGATATTGTGAATGTTTTTGCTCTTGGAGATGGCTGGAGAAATAGTACTATTAAATATTATGTACAGAATTCATGAGAAAATCATGAACTTTCCACCTACTATGTTTTCACCCACACACTCAGTCCCTCCTCCCCTTGCTCTCAAACAAGATCATCCTATCTACACTTATTGCTACAATGCAGCCACAGGATGAATAAAATAAGCTCCTCATCCACTGACACCAACAAAATATTTACGCTTACATTTTAGATTGCTAAGAAGTTTAAATTAGACATATTCTTTATCTCAATATATCCAAGAGTACTACAATAAGAATATATTAACCTCTGCTAACATAATCAGTGGAAATAGTTTACCATGTTATTAGGAAAAAAGAAAGCCATAAAGGGGAAAAAGAAATTTTATAATACAAAGCTCTGGAGCCAAGCTACAACATAATAAAGTGCATAAGAAATTCCTCTATTTCGTTTGAATGTTGAAGAAATTTGAGTGAAAACATGCAAAAAATAACAAGATAATCTTAACTCTGCAAGTGTTACAGCGTATTTAAAAATGCTTTTCTAAAAAAAAGTTTTCCTCACCACTAGCAGCAGAGTTGAGTTCTGTAATTTAGTTCTTGAACAACCAGCTCTATCAACGAGAATCTCTGTGGCCAAATTTTATTCCACGGTTTTGTAATATAGACCAAAAAAGTATGTAGACAGGGTATTGATGAAAACATTCTAAATTCTTTTTAAAAGATGCTATTTTCTTCTATGCTCTGAGCTCAGCTGGTTCTTCATTTTATGTTGAAATAAAGGATCTCTGCTGGAAGATTTTTAAGTTCCGGGATTAAGCTTCATGTTCCTAACTCTTACAAATCTCTTATCTAAGACCACCAAAGTTTCACAGATGGCCGCATTTTTTCAGACATCTTTTGCCTAATTTATATAATTAGATGGAATGAGCAGCCTGATTAAGGTAATTTTTCACTTAACGTTAAGTGGAAATTGCATTTAGAGACCTAATACATGAACACATTCTCTAAAGCACAAAGAACACACAAATCATAGGTGCACAATTTGCATCTGGGGACCACAATATTCTGGAACGTAAAATACCCTACACTAAGGCCTTACTTAGAAATGCTTAACCCAGGCCCAAACTCAATGAGCTATCCTCTACGTGCTAATAAAGCTAAAGGTGTAACATTCCAGGAGCAGCATTAATAGGCAACTGAAAGACCAAAAAATCTTATGAAGACCAAAATAAATGGATCTCTAAAGATGGAATTTCAGATTGTGCTGGATGGTAAAAGAAAGTGATGGGCAATAGGGAATCCTAATCAGTTCCATTCAATTCGTGATGAGTGTCCAGTTAACAACTTCTCTTTGTGAGGTAAAACTAATGTAATGTAAAATGTAATAACTGAAATATTAAAACAAAAATATCCTATATATTGAACCTCTCTCTCCAAGCTTCCTGGTCATTCAGCAGGTGTCTTAAATTTAAGGCTGCCCTATCAGAAAGAGGTCACTTAAGGACAATTAACTTCAATGAAATACCTAGTATACTAATTAAAAAATAACCAAAACTGTAGTTCCAAAGGGAAAAAAGAAGTGAGAAATAGTGACATCCTACTAAAGATATTACCCTGTTATTTATTAGGGTGACAATTATCTACATTAATTTTATTGACAACCCAATAATTTCTAAAGTATAAAATATTAATTATGTAGCAGTATTTTTCACTTTAAAACACACTTGAAAATTCTTTCTCAATCAGGCCAAATCTAATTTTAAAACTGACCCTAAACATAAAACTACTCACCAATTAGACTAAGAGATAAAAACAATACTGGTTCAGGGAAGGGAGACTGGATTAAGAAAAAAATTAATTTGAAGCTGGTCACCAAAAAAATAAATAAATAGAAATTCCAAGGCTAAACTAGGGTAAAGCTTCCCAAGGGAAAATATTAATAAATCGGTTGTTACCCTATGCATGACTAGGATTTCAGAAAATGCACACTAGCATGAAGTTAAGAGAAATTTTACAGGGAGTAAGTGTGGAGTACACTATCCTTTCAGGAAGAATAGTTTGCTTTATAAAAAAACAGGGATAAAGAAGGCTGGCAACCCACCCCTCACATCCTCCTCACCCCCCAAAATTAAGAATATTTTGAGAATTAAGAGATGTAATAATAAATAAGTTCAGAACACACCCACAAAAAAAACACTTCCAATACTGTAACATAAAGCAATCATTCTACATTAAAATATAGACAGTATTTCCTCTACGATTATTGCCCACTAAGCCACTTCATCTACAGTACTTTTCTTATAGGGAAAACGTGCCTGACTTTTAATTAATGCATGGTTCCAGAGTGTTCACATTTTATATGTTCAATCCCATACTGTGAATGAGGGCTGTGCTGAGTGGGGGACCCTAAAGTACAAAGTGTGGTATAACTAAAATGTCTAATACAAAAGGAGCTACCACTTTAACGCCATCCTATTTTAGTGACTATAATAAATAACTCCTTGAAAAGCAAGCACATCCCTTTATAACTGTATACCTTCCGTCTCACTTTAAGATATCATCACAGAATGAATGTGTACAACTTAATTATTTTCCCGGGTGCTTCCTTTCCTTCCCTCCTCGTAGAACACAAATATATTTTTTTAAGTTCACATAAATTGATACCTAGCACTAGTAACTCGGTCTATTTGAAATGGGCTTAATTTTGAAAGTTCTAATAAGATGTGTTCAGGTTGGAAACGAAAAACTACCTTATAAGGGTATAAAAGGCTGAAAGCAGGAAGCGGCTTTGACAAAACTAAGGAAGTTGCAGCGCGCTTGCTCACTGGGGGACTTTTTTGAGGCAAGAGAAGTAACACATGACATCTTTCTCTCTCAAATTAAAATGTGACTTGGTTCACCGGCTTAAAAACGCAGTGGGAGATGGAAAAAACCGGGAGTTAAAAAGGAAGAGGAGGTGGGTGGTTAAATGAAAGCCCCGATTTAGGTTCCCATTTTCAGAGTCTGAGTCTTCCCATTCCCCCACCCACACCCCGGGCAGTGTTGTCACACCAATCTTGCAAAACCTACACAGAGCGCTTCTCTTTTCTCGCTCTTCTGCCAGGCGAGTCCCCGCGCTCGATTCTCAAACCCACCGGCAGGAAAGGGTGCAGAGGGAAAGGAGAGCCTGGTGCCCAGGGCTCGGCGACCACCCCCACCGTGCCCGCGAGCCCCGGGGAGGCGACCGTCCCCGCATCTCCTTGGGCGGCGCTGCCCACAGCGGTGGGGGAAGGGCCGCGAAGAGTAGCACGGAGAGATCCACTCCACGGCGGCTTCCCGGTCTCAGGCCTCTGCCTGGGTCCCAGAGGGTGAAACCAGGGTACAAGGGAGGCCCTGCCTCTCCGGGCCCCACCCCTCGCAACCCAGAGGGGCTAGAATGACACTGCCGGCGGCAGCACCTTGCCGCACCATTCATCTCCCAACCTCCTCCCTCCCCCGCCATTTTCCTACCTCAGCCTCAGTTTCCCCACCCCCGCCCGTCAGCCCCCTTACCCGGTGCCACAGTCCACCACACAGGCCGGCAGCCGTCCCGCCATCTTCCTCCTCGCCTGCTCCTGCTGCTGCCGCCGTCTGCTCCGTACTGGTCGTGGCCAGGGATTGGCGGCAGGGGATAGGAACTATCTGACCATCCACAGCCGAGCCGCCCTCTCCGTCCGGGGGGGAGCCGGGAAGCCGAAGCAGTAGCGAGAAAGCAGTAGGCTCGGTCAGCGACTACCACTTCCGCAACCCAGGAGGGCAGCCAGTCCCCGCCCTGCCCCGCCGCGGCCTCCTCCCCCTCTTTCTCCCCTCCTCCTCACTCCTGCCCCCACCCTACAACTTCTTCCCCTCACGCCGCCTTTCCCGGGGAAGTCAAGATGGCCGCCAGTGCCGACGCCCTGGCCAGGCCGGGCCCCGGCGGCGAGCGCTCCCCCTTCCGGCTCCGAGTGGGAGGGGCGAGGAGGCATGCGCAATAAGGTGCGGTCGCCGGCGGCTGCTCCCGTCCCGAAGTTAAGGGAATCCAGTTCGGGTTTTCCTAGAGCGTAGGGGCGGAGAAGTCAGCCCGAGCCTCCAATTCCTCTGAAGCTGAAGGAGGCTTTTAGTTTCAATTACTTCTATGCTAGGGTGAGGAAGGGTGGAACCGCATCCCGCAGCCACGAATGTCTTCTCCTGTGCCCGGGGCAAAACGGCCCAATTGATAACGTTGTCAGCAGCACACACAACCATTCTTATAACTTGAGCGGCTGCTATTCTGGGTGGAAAGCGATATCAGACCGACGGTGAGCAGCCGGGAGTCAGAGAAACAAAGGTTTGCACCGTGACTCTTTTGCCTTTGTGCCGAGGTTTTAATCATTTACTCTTGTGCATTGTAACCACATTTCACATTATAGTAGTTATAACGTTTAAATTGTAGCGTTCCCCTTCCTCCCTCCCCCGCCCTCCCCGAGAGCGGGCCTGCGCCCACAAGGAAGGCAAACCTTCCGGGAATATATGAATGTATTCTACATAATATGCTCTACACAAATAGGCCTTTATTCAAAGCTTTCGGATAATGGCAAAGATTTCCCTCTGGAATAATTTAAGATTATGCTATTCTACTAGCAAGGTTATACCAAAGATTAAGGACCCCCAAAGAAATTTTTTTAAGGGTTAAAAACTGGAAAGCTAGAACGGAGTTTTTCAAACATATTTATCAGAATTAACTGGAAGGCTTGTTGAAACAGATTGTTGGGGCACACCACCAAGAGTTCTCTGATCAGGACCTGGTAATTTGCATTTTTACCACGTTCCCAAGTGATAGTCTGGGACCCCCACCCTAGGAAACTAGGTTTCCTCTCCACTAGGCTTGTCTTAAATTGATAAACTGTGAATTTGCTTATATGAGACTGAAATAATTTTTTTTTTTTTCCTAAGAAAGGACGTCTAATTCACTCCAGAAGATCACACACATAGTATGGTGTTAGACTGGCCTGGGGGTGGAATGTGGGTTTTTCATTCATTTGATAAAGAAGTATTTCTCATCTCTTATGGATGAGACTATGCTGACCCTGAATATTCAGAATGCACAAAATGGTAAGGTCTCTCACAGAGTTTGCAGTTTAGTGGGGAAACGTAGAAACTGTTAAAAATATTAGAAGGCAGAGAGCAGGAGATGAGAAATGGGTATGATAGGTGAGAGAATGGCAGGAAAGTGAGAGATAGGAAGGCTTCTCCCACATAATGACATTTAAAAGCTGAAGGCTGGAAGGTACTAAGAGTTAGGGGAAAGGATAAGGAAAAAGGGGAGCCCTCCAGGAAGGGGGAACAGCAAACATCAAGTCCCTGAGATGGGAAAGAGCTTGGCTTCTTCCACAAATTGGAAGAAGACCCAAGAGGTCAAAGTGAAGTGAGCCAAGAAAGATGAAAAGGAAGTTGAAGTCAGAAGAAAGAAGCAGAGGATACAAGGATTTGTAAACTTGTGTGAGCATCTTAAAGTTTGGCCTAAAAGCAACTTGGAAGCCATTGAAAAGATTTAAGCAAAGAAACATTGTGGCTGCTTTGTAGGGAATGGATCCTCCAAAGTAGAGTGAAGTGCATCTTCTGCTTAAATTATATGCTGTAGTTCAGGGATAGGAATATGTGAGGAGAAGCATCCAGATGGGATCAGCTATGTGCAGAGGAGATTCACTTAGGGGAATCATCATCATCAATTAGTACCCAGCATACCCACATCTACTTACAGAAAAATAAATAAACAAACAAACAAATAAATAAATAATCCTGGTGGGTGGCTTTCCTCAGAGATAAACAAACAAATAAATAAATAATCCTGGTGGGTGGCTTTCCTCAGAGATTATCTTCCAAGAAGTCAAACAGAAGTGGTTCTTTTTTCAGATGCATGTTTGGGTTTTTTTCCCCTTACATTTTAGAAGATGCTAAATGGGAATTCTCTGCTGCCTTTTCCACCATCAGGTCATTTGGGAGAGCAGATGCCCGAAGATTGGTTCTGGCAGAAGAGGGAGATGTGGCTTGCTTGGGGTATATTGTTGCTTCCAGCATTACAGATGTAAGTCAGGAGCAAAGGGATCCTACCACAGGGGGCCCAAGGACAGAGGTTGGGAACTTGAACAGGTCAATCAGGGAAACCCACACTGGTAGATCCTCAGGATGGCTGCCTACCCACAGCCTTGGGTAGGTTGTCATGGAAGTAGTTTCGTCAGAGGTCAGAAACTGGAATGCTCCCAGGGTCCAGGCAGGTGACATTATGAGTGAAGAGGGCTATAAGGAGAGTATGACAATGTGGAGAACCCACATCCTAACAGAAAACAGTAGGGAATTTGCTATGCAGTAATGTAGGCCCAGTTGCCAGAGCCTCCCTTTTTTCAAGAAATGTTGGAGATCGTACTTTTATCTGTTGGTAACAAATTCTCTAAAGGCTAGATTTTACTTGTGTGATACAAGTTTTCAACTTGTGATTTAAGAGGCTGTTTAACATTTACTTGTGCGCTACCTTCAAATATGAAACTCATGTTGGTGCTGCATACTGTATCTCATTTCGTAGGTATATACATAGTCAAGACTGTCTGTTCTCTATAAAGGCTGTGGCTGTTAGAAGTGTTTGGAAGCTTCCAACACTTTTTAGAAATGTCACTTGTGCTTGTTCCTCTTAATTTGTCTACCCAAACACTGCTTGCTTAAGACCCCTTCTACTTCCTGCTTGCTACGTGTCAAATTGGTTAGCCTCCGTGCTGTCGTGGTGGCTCAGCCTTTCTTAGCTGTGCGGAGCCTTCAGATACACATCCTGCCAAAGCATTTCTGACCACCATGTTTGCATATGTCTCCTTCCTGCTCACTCTTCTCCAAATACAGAGAAGCAGAAGATGTCAGAGCTCAAAGGACCCTGAGAGATTATCTTATTAGGTATGAAAAGGAAAGCAGTGGTGGATGGGTGGGGTTTGTTTGACTGCCCTACATTCTTTACTCCCTAATAGCACCCTACTTTCCTTTTAACTCTGGTCAACCCACTGCTTGGTTCTTGTCAGTTTCCAAGCCTGGTCCCCAACCTTTCAGGCATTTGTGAGCCTTATAATATCTTTCCAATAAATCCTCTTTAGCTTGTTAGTAGTAACCAGTTTCTATTACTTGCACAAATTTATGAACCCTAAGTGATACAGAAGCCCAGAGAATTTAAGTGATTTTCCCAGTATCTTAGAAAAGCTAGGGAACAAAGTCCAGACCAAAACCTGGTTCTGACTCCTTTTCAAGGCTCTTTAGTTGTAACGCTACAAATATTGTTTAACTTTGACTGATATACTGGTCATGAGATTTCCTAGGGTATTTCAATGCTTTAAGGCCAATGTAGCAAATGTTTCTGGATCTTGAAATGTTTAAGAAATTTACATGTCAATCAATCTCTATTATTTTAAAATTGGAAATATTATTTTTTAAAAAACCAATTTAGATACTTGCTGTAGGGATGACTATTTGCAAATTGGCAGACCAATCAAATCCACAGAGAGCATTGGGGAAAAGCAGATAGATAAATGCTCAAAATGTCCATCCACAATTTGGCGATGGACAGGGGCGAGGGGGTTGGGAGACTGGGAGAATGAGGTGAAGGGCTAAGAAGTACAAATTAGTAGTTGATAGATGGCCACAGGGATGGGGAGCGCGTCATAGGGAATGCGGTTAGCATTAATACATTGGCTAGGTGGAAGGTCAGGGGAGGGAGGGAGCAAATGGGGGGATTGTTTTATAAACTATGTAAATGTCTAACCAATGTACTGTATACTTGAAACTAATTTAAAACTAATAAATAAAAAATAAATTGAAAAAGATGTCGATTCAGCCTAGTGGTCAGAGGTGGCTGTGAACCCTGGCTTCCCCCTTCTCAAGTTTCATGATCTTGGACAACTAACGTAGTGTATAAAGAGAGCACTGAACTTGGAATCAAGAGATTCGAGTTAAGTATGAGTTCTTTAATCTGTCTCTTAATCTATAAAATTGGAAAAACTACCTAACCTACAGGGTTGTTGTAAAGCTTAAATTTTTTAAAAGCATATTATTAATTTCGGAATGATCTTATGAACAGATAAAGAAGAATATGATATGATTATAAAATAATGACCCTTTTACTTATTACTTAAACATAGAGACTTAAACATGCAAAAATTGGTCTACTTTTTTCACAGAAGTTATCCTGGGACCTGTGTGCTTACTCTGTTAATGCTACCATTGTACAAAATATTTTTGGAAGGTCTCCTTCAGACTTGCCTTCAGAGCCTGTAGCACATTCCTGTAAATATCGTCATTGATGGCAAATCTTGGCCCTTGTGGGTAGATTTGACTTTGGAATTAGCCAAAAGTCATTTAACTGAGGTAAGTCCAGTGAATAAAATGGCTGATTAACTAGGGCTATGTTTTTGATGAAAAGCTTTGTGTGACTATGAAGAAATAAAACTGGTTTTCATAGGTGACTTATCAACTGCTTCTGACCATGGTTCTAAAAAGAAGTTCCAGAAAGATTTTACTCAATGGCCACATCATTCCCTGGGATAAAAATATTACACTCATCATATATTTAATTTCAATTGAAAATATATTTCACATAGTAATAATAGCTGTGCAGTGTTTAAAATGAGGTGAGGTTTTGTGGGATATTACCCTAATTCTCCCCACTGCCTGTAAAAAAATGAATAGTTTATTTAAAATATAACTCTCAAAGAAAATTTGAGAAAGAAAAGTTAGACTGCACACACACATATCATATTACATATAAAAACAAACTCCAGGTGAACTACAAATCTTCAATGTAGAATAAAACTCATACCCTTCATTACGGCCTAGTAAACTCTCTGTGTTTTGGTGCCTGCCTTTCTCTCCAATTTGTATCTTCCTTTCTCTGACACATTAGGCACATCAGCCTTCTTGCTCTTCACACACACCAAAGCCATTCCTACCTACATCTTTTCCCTGTACTTTCCCCCTAATCATTAGGTATTCTTGAATTAATTTAAAACTCGCCTTCTCAGAATTGCCTTTCCTGACCACCCAATCTGAAGCAGCCTACTTCATGCTACCATGTCACTATGTTTTCATTCTCTGGTGAAATGCCTGGTTCATTTATTGGTTCATTTGTTTATTGTCTCTCTCTCTCCTGACTAGAAAATAACCCCACCAGAATCTGAAGAGGACCTGGTACCTGATAAGTGCTCAACAAATATTAGTTGAATGAATGAGTTTAGTAGTAAAAGCAAAACTATAACTATATTAGAAGAAAATTTAGGAAAATATTTGTGTAATCTCAAAGTAGAGGAGATTTTCTTAAGTAAAAATAGAAACTCATAGCCATTAATGGAAAGATTTGGTTACATAAACAAATTTTCATTGGTTAAAAATTTTTTGAATTTATAGAAGAAAATATTTACATCGCACATGACAAAAGTTAGTATCTCTAATAGTTAAAAATTATAAGAAAAAAGCAAATAATCCAGAAAATTAGCAAAAGGTTTCAACACAAACACCCTACTGAGGAAATTTAAATGGACTATTAACATAGAGAAATAGTATTTTTATTGCTGGTAGTAAGGGAACTACAAATTAGACAATGACAGATATCATTTTTCACCCGTTATTCACAACACTTAAAAAGAGAAAAAAATATCTAATGCTGATAAGTTTATAGGAAAACGAACATGCCTTGAATACTGTTCTTGAGAATATAAATTGCTATAACCTCCTACAAAGTTAACCATCAGTATCTATTAAAACTTAAAATTTTTGTATGTTAGTCTTAGGGATCTCATCTGGGTGACTCCTTTAAAAAATGTACTGGATGTTGAAGGAAGAGAAGATTATGGTCATGAGGAATTATTTAAAAATTGGAAGATTTAAAAATATATTCTTTATTTCAAGTGCTTCTGTAACCAGGTAAATCTCAGGTTTCTTTTAACTTAGGAGAGCCTGGATGTTGAGGGACACTCACAGTCTCTTCCATATGTCCGCATTAATTTGCAGGGATATGCAGCTGAGATTGACATGTATGCTTTCTCCTTAAGAACAGCAACTGGATTTTATTTGAGTGCCTATGTGCCCAGCCAAACTACCACATTTCTCAATCTCATTTTCAGGTAGGTGTGGCTGTCCAGTTAAGTCACTGCCAATAAGATATAAGTATTCTGGAAAATATCTTTAAAGATATTTAGGAAGAGCATTTTGGTTTTGTGTCCTCCACTTTTCTTCCTACCTGAAACACAAAGTGATTAGAGCTTCTCAGTCATTATGGATTATTAACTCACCTTGAAGACTAGAAGCCATGCCTTAAAGTGGAGCATAAAAATAGGAGCTTAAGTCCCTAATGGCTCTGAAGTACCCCATAAAAGCCTTGGATCACCTACTTCCAGATTTATTTTACATGAGAGAAAAATAAACCCTTAGTGTTTAAGCAACTATAACTTGGCTTTTTCAGTTATATTCAGTTATGCAGCTGAATCTATTTCTAATTGTTAATATAATATGTTAAATACAAAAAGCAAGTTGCTAAATAGTATCAGAAGGATATAAACAAATGTTTTTAGATGATAAGCCACTAATATAGAAAAGTGGATTGGTGAAGGTATAAATAATAGGGAATAGAGAGGACCATGTTAAATTGGAAAACTCATGCAGCATCAATAATATTATTACTGTGTAGGCATGTGAATCCAGATTTTCCAGTTTTCATGTTAAAATTGCCTAATATTTTGCACACAAAACAGTTTTCCTGATATATCCAGACTTTAGGCCATCAGTTTATGACCTTTGATTTATAGTGTGATCTAACATTTGGAAAAACACAGAAAAGGCAGGAGTAAAGGAAGAAAAAAGAAACAGTGAGCCCTAAATATATATATATATTTATATATGGTATAAACATAGAGATGATATGAAAAGTTGTGTATAAAACAATGGAAATCTAAGATGGATGATATTAAAGAGGAAGATTATTAACTTTCTCATATTTTCTGTTTTGTTACAATGAATGTATATTAATCTGTAATTTTAAAATATCTGGTAGTATAAGAGGAAAATTTCTAAGTTGCTGAGACTGAAAATCCAATGTCAATGCCACAACACAATCATAGAAAGCTTTAATGATAATTCAGTCTGAGCAAGTTCAGTCTGTTTTAGGAACAATCATTAATTTAAGTATTAATATCTAAAACTGGAAAAAAACAGATGTAAGAGGGAAAATACAAACACATTGTACGTTGCAGTGACTTTGTACTGGAACTGGAAATCATATATAAACGTGTGCTTGCTAGTTGGAGAAAAAAAATGTTACAGGAAATGATACCTTGATTGTCTTTAAAACAAAAAATAAAAAGAAGTGCGTTCTTAATTCTTTGAAATTACAATGTGGTCCAATGTGTACATTGTATTTGGTTTAACATGTCATGTTGGTTTTTACTAAAATGAGCTCTAGTTTTACAGCAGCTCAGATCTTTAAATATTCATTCCTTTTTTTTTCTTAAATTTGTCTCAAGCATTGCCATTCTCTTCAAAACACGTGTTTGAAAAATGTTTGGGCTTCTCATCTCAATTTAAGACTGCGTATTTGGTTCCAGTTTGATGAGAAGAAACTGGATTGTGAATACATTTTTTCTGACACATCTGTTTTCATCCTTTGCTAAATTTGACAACTTGTGACACTTCTCACATTTCTGAAACAAGTCTCCCAATTACAAAAGAAGCTAACAACAATAATATAATAAATAATAAATTATTTGGCTGTTTCAAATTTTATCCAAAATGAAGTTTATCAAATTTTCTCCTTATGCTCAACCCCGTAAATCCCCCACCAGCCCCTGATGCATACTATGTGCCACTGGGGCATTTATGCCAGGGGGATTATGATCCTTAAATAGCAGTCAGTTGCTCTAACACTGTATCATTATTTTCTTTTTTCATAGAATAATAATTTTGCAGGACTTAATATAACTCCCCAGTTTAACTCCTAAGTTTTACAGACAGATAAGTGACTTATTTACGATCTCATAACAAATGATTGCAGTATTTCTACTTAAATATATACCTAAAGATTCATAGAAGGTAAAAGCTGTATTGAAAATTCACACAATTCTTGTGGAATATGACAGATTTAGTGATGTTATAAAATCTAGCATTATGTCATGCCTACTGGTGAAGAAGTTTTGGTAGTAAATTGAAGAAACCAAACTCAAACCAGCTCAAGAATAAAACGGAATTTTTTTTTTCTTTAGAGTGGATGGAGCTCAAATGTAAATTCCAAGGTGTAAATTTGGTTTGAGCATGGCTGGATGCAAAAACCAAAAATATCAGAATCTGCCTGTCTTCATTCTCAGTCAGCTTTACTCACACAGTGGCAAAAATGGCTTATGTTCTAACCTCAGTGCAGAGAATACATCTTTCTCAGTGGTCCCAACAAAGGAACTGGGAGCAACTCTCAAAAGCTGGCTTGGATCGAGGGTCCTTCCTGAGCACTGCAATATGACTCTAGTCCCACCAGAAAAAAAAAAAAAAATCACATGGATAGAAAGTGGAGGAAGGGTAGTCACAGGGGGAAAAATAAGTGTTTATTATCCAAAGAGAGGTAATGAATGTAAGGCAAGCAAAAACAAGTTAAGTTCATAAAAATTTCCACTGATGTTGAATTGTAAACCTATATAACTAAGTTAATTTCTTGCTTAGTGGTTGCGAGTTTATGATATTTTCATTAAAAAAAAAAAAAAAAAACTACCAACACTAAAGAAGGGGATACTGTATATAAAGAAAAAGTAGAAATACACTGGAAAATATTGTTGCCTTTGCCAAAAAAAAAAGTTGCATTGCATGTGTGTGTGTTTATATTGTCAGTCCATAAATGAACAAAAAGGCAAATGGAAAATAAAAACATTGGACATCTGCCAAACATGACATTAAATGTTTAATGATCCCCTCAAACCTGCACTGGGAAAGTAGTCATTATAATTTTACAGTAGGCTTTGTTTATTTTGGATTCCATTTCATTACAAATGCTGATGAGCTTGTGCTAGCTGCACTTAATAGTATTCTATTGGAAGTTATATAATTATTCAGTTCATAAAGAGTAATGGCCTCATATACAGCCAATTTTTTATCAGTGTAACTAGAACTCTGCTCATTCATTTGTCCATTTGTTCATTTATGTTATGTGCCAGTTATGAATCAGGAACAAGGCTGAACACTAAGATTAAAGAGATGAGTAATTTGTAGCTCCACCCCTCGAAGAAGTCAAAGTGCAATAAGGGAAACAGATCAGTAAAAATTAGAATACAACATGAGAAGAGATTTGCACAAGGCTTTAAAAAAGCAAAGAAGGACCAATAGCTCACACAGCTGAGAGACTGCGGGAGGTTTCAAAAAAAGAAGACTTAGGGAATGCTTTCCAAAGAGGAAAAGGAGATGAAAGGCAATTCTGGAGAGTATAATATGTGCAATGACACAGAACCTTGAGAGTTTCAGAAATGGATTACAACTGTGGCTATGGTATAGGGTGTGTACAAGGGAAAAGTCAATGTGAATATGTAAATGAATTTGTGTGCTAAGTTTGGACTTTATCTTTCAGTTCCAAAACCCTGGACCCCCAACTAGAACCAGGCTGACAGTAAAGAACAATCTGGAGAACTTGTAAACAATAAATATAGATTGCCCTGGTCCCACTTCTGAAAATTTTGGTTTGGGAGGAATCTATGTTTTAAAAAAAGTTTCCTAATGATTCTGGAGCACAGCCAAGTCTGCAAACACTGCATGTAGGTAACGGGTATCCACCAGAAGGTCCTGGAAAAGAGAACATGTTTTGGAAAGAGTTTTTTTGCTAGTGGAAAGTTGTAGTAAAGCAGGTCAAAACAGGAGATGAGAGACCTAATAAGAGATGGTCGTGATAAAACAAATTGAGAAATGGTGAGCAGAGACAGTGCAGGTGCAGCAGAGGCTAATGTTCAGAGATATTTCTGAGAAGTATAATCCGTAGGGCTAGACGATCTGTTTGATGTAGGAAGTAAAGTGTGTGTATGTGTCAGCGGTAGAATTCTAGTTTGTAAAGAGTAATCTTGAGAACTGAGAGTGAGAGGTTAGCAGGAGGCGTGGCTGTGTGTACAGCAGTATGATGTTAGCTCAGGGTGGGAAGCCAAGCTGCACCTTGCCATGGGCAGAAGGCCAAGGCCTGGGATCTAAAGGCTCAGATCTGCAAACCCTGAGATTAAAAACTTGCTGATGGTTCCTCACATGAGGATACCTCCCTTCTTTGTGCCTCCTGTGTTACCTACCAATAGTCATCTCTCATAGCCCCTATAATAGCCTCTCAGGCTTTCTCAGTAGCTTATAAACATCCTGAAGCCAAGAATTATGTGAGCCTATATGTTTGCAGAGCCAAGCCTAGTGCCTGCACATATTTGATAATCACATTTCTAGGTGAATGCATTTTATTAATTACTTAGGTAATTATAACTATAGCAGCCTCAGTATACCTCTATAGGCTTTGGGCCTCGTGTATGTGTGTGTGTGTGTGTGTGTGTGTGTGTGTTTATATAAAAGTGTGTTTCTGTATTTCTACATGCTTTGTTTATGACTTTCCAAATTTCACATTTTTATGATGAATACCAGTATGCAAAATACACTGCTTTCTTCCAAACATTAATTATTGCAAGATGCCTGTGTAATTAGTGAACCAGGCATTTCCTACAGATATTTAGATTCCACTGAAAAGAGCTTGATTAATAAAACATTATTAAAAAACTTTCAATCTAATTAATTAAAGACAAGAAATAATTTTCAATTCAGTTATCCAAATAATCATATATGGATTCAGAGAGATTATTTTAAGTAGAGTGGTATAATCACTTTAAAGTGTCTTATTCTCACATGGTGCTAAATGGAATAAATAAGAAGCTGCCATGAAAGATAAATAAATAATATAAGGACAGAAAATATAAGATTAATTTGAAAGTTGCATTACTCTTTATGTATAAGCTTTTGTCCTGTTCATTGATTGGATGATTTCTTTTTTATTCCCCATTATCTTTGCCTTCTTCATTGCCCTTAAGTGCCCTCTGAGCGCTAACAGGAACATTGTACTTACCGAGTTTGAAATCAACAGAAAACTCAAATAGTTGCAACTTTTCTTTATAATCCTCTCGTGAGAATGAGTAATGACAAGTAGGCAAGCTAATATCAGCGATTTCAAAGTACAATTTACAAGCAGATGTGTGAATGAATTCGGATAACTAAAAAATGCAAAATGGCAAAGGTATTGGCAAAAACTAAGAAAAGTGTTCTTTTGGATTCTAATATCTATATTTCAAATTGATTATTTGGAATGAATTCCTACATACAGGCCTCTAATTATACCTCTCTAAGCCTATTTGACTCTTTGTTAAATAGACTCGTGTATCTTGATGTTTTATCCCCTTGATGTGGCCTAATTACTGTAAAAATCTATAACTTCCTGTTTCCCTGATCTTCAAGAAACTGTTTTATCCTTCTCAACTTATAATTTATGATATGTATGTGATAGTCCCCTAAGTTGCCTCAACTCCTATTTATCACCTTGTATTTTGTATGCAATATCCATCATAACTCACTGGCCTTGCCCAAACCCTGGTTTGGGCCACTCTTACCTGCTTTGTCCTTTTGCTGCCCCAAACCCTTTATTAACATACTGCTCTAGCTTTAATGTGCTGGTTATTTTCCTACTTGCTCTCAGATCAATTCATTCCTTGCCCTTCTCTTATTCTGTCTGTACCTAAAGAAGCTGATTCCTGCCAACTCCATTTGCTGGAGTCACTTGCCCATGTCTCAAAGGAATTAGGACAATGAAAGATAAAAAGCTAAAGTAGGGAACTGGCAGAAAAAGAGAAGCCAAGATACTGCTTCCCCTCTCTGATTCAGGGAGCTTCTCCCATAGTGGCTGCTTCTCCTCTATGATTCCCATTCTAAGGCCAACCAGGAACAGTGACTCCAGTTAACTCAGCTCCTCTGTTGGTCTTTCCAACCCTAGTGTTGGAGGGTAGAGGCTTTCTGCTATTGCTGCTCTGTGGGGTGCTCTTCCTTCCTCAATATGGCTTTCCAGCCCTTTTAGTACATTTGTAACTAGTTTCTGCTATTAAATTCTCTCAATTGAACTACCTCACTTCGGCTCTGATTTCTGACTAGACCCCATCTCATAGCTGTGCATTCATATCCCAAATTCTACTTGTACACTTGGCCAGTTGTTAGGCAGGGAACAAAACGATTGTTATCACCACAGAAAAATTTGTGTCAGTATTGCAAGGCTCACATCTCAAAATGTCCAGCAAAAGATATAAAATAACAAATGAACATGTTAAAAATATACAGAAGAATGGAAATCAAGTCATTTAATTTTTTAAAGCCACTTTTATTTCATTCTTCATTCATTAGTAACCTCCCATCAATAGGGAAACCATGGGAAATGGAGCAGAGTGAACTAAGAATCATGCCCAAAATAGTTCCAAGTAGATTTGCCTGCACAAAAGAACAAAAGATGTGATCAGTACCCAAAGTAGGGAGCATAGCACATTTAGTGCTGTTAA